TCATATGGTGAAAAACTGACTTTGAAAAATAAATCTGTTCTTCTTTTCTTAAAAAAAAGCTAAATAAAATAAAAATATTGGTAATAATTTTTGACTGTGTAACTTTACAAATGGCACCCCATAGCTACGTGCTGATTTTAAAAATCAAAATCTGTCACTTTTTGATACAAAACAAATAACAAAAACATGAAATTACGTGCTACTTTGCACATTATCTATACACTGACTTTGCAGTTAATCTGATGGCTTTCAGGGCAGAAAAGCAATGTGATGGAAACATAAGACAGTAAAAATCAATAATGTTTAATTAAATCACTATATATTCCTTTACGCCACCTTACATTTTCATCACCCGAACAGACGATCTGCTTTGTGGTGTGTGTTTCACATGGACCATGTGACAGCAAACGACAGACAGTAATGTACAAACCACCATGAGTTTTTGATATCAGTGTTGTAAATGGCTTAAATTCTTTTTGGTCTTGGTCTCCTTGACCTTGCTCAGGCTGCTCTTGGCTCAAATCCCTCTAGACCACTTCTGTCTGATAGTCCAAACTGATTATTCTCTCAACATTCCTAATGGCAAGCAACAAAGAAAAGGGTATAAAGCGTAAAAAGCGCTGTCATTCCATATGTGGCAGATGTGTCTGAAGAAGTCATATTGTTTTTTCTCCAAATACAACATCCATATGACCTTCAAACCCAAAACACCTTCACAAAAACTGGTTCACTGAAAGGACAAAACTCTCAAACAGAAGCTGTGACGTTTAGTGCAAGAAGGAGTGCTCTGACCTTTATATGTGGGAAAGCAAACAACTGATTTGGATTATGTATCTTCTCTGGTCTGAGAACACCTCAGGGTCCCCCAGGACGAGCTTGGAGAGGTATGTCTAGGTTTCTGTCCTGGACCTGTTGCCTCAGCGACCCAGCTATAAAAAGGTGGTGGAATTTGGATGGATGGATGGATGGATGGATGGATGGATGGATGGATGGATGGATGGATGGATGGATGGATGGATGGTTGGATGGATGGATGGATGGATGGTTGGTTGGATGGATGGATGGATGGATGGATGGATGGATGGTTGGATGGATGGATGGATGGAAACCAAACATCACAAACAAATGACACAATACAGGAAAGCTCAGCTCTTCCCCTGTCTGAAGAATAAGGGACACATATATTTTAGTCAGAGATGATAGATGATTACTTGTTTCACAAGGGGGCCAAAATTCATAACTTTGTCCAAATTAAGTACCATTTTCTGTCAATACTTAATGAAGCACTGTTATATAACAAATTAATCTTGTAGAACTACAAAGGAACTTTTCCAAATTATGTTATAGATAGCATTTAGAATGTACATAACCTAAGAAACCTTTCAAATCTGGTGAAAAAAGAAATCCCTCACTAAAAAAATCCTATTATTTGACTTTCAAATAACTAAAAAATTCAGAAAATCCCCATTGATCCTCTTTCCACACCAAATTAAAAGATTAAAACTGTGGGTCCTGAGTTTGAAACAAGTGGTCTTTTGGACAACAACAATTGGAGGCAGGAACCAGCTTCCTTTGTGACTCAAAAAGTATAAAGCAGGTAAAGAAAAAGGATGGATGGATGGATGGATGGATGGATGATGGATGGATGGATGGATGGATGGATGGATGGATGGATGGATGGATGGATGGATGGATGNGATGGATGGATGGATGGATGGATGGATGGATGGATGGATAGATAGATAGATAGATAGACAGAGAAAACAGTGGTTAGTTAGGTAAAATTCTATCCCATATCTAATACATCAACGCAATCTCCAATAATTTGTCATGTTTAGTTAAAGGGTACAATCAGGGAAAGATCTCATTTTAAAAAAATTAGCAATCTTCAGTTTAAATCCATTGACTTTCTCTTTTCTCTTTCTGCCTGCAGGTTGTATCGAACTTTCCGAGACTCCAAATATCTCTACATGCTCCTCGAGGCTTGCCTTGGAGGTGAACTGTGGTCACTTCTTCGAGACAGGTATGTGGCTGAGTGCTCACCTGCTGAAACATGTTGAAAAGCACCAAAAAAAAAAAAAACAAACCCTGGAAGGTTGTTGGACGTTTTGCAAAGCTTGTTTTCTTATGATAACTAGACATTTTATTTAAAGAAATTAGGTCCTTCTTGGTGGTTTGTGTGATAGTTTAACAGACAGACACAGGCCAAAACATTACCACCTGCCTCTTAACGTGCATGTCTGTTCAAAGCTTTCTGTAAAAAAAAAAAAAAAACTGTACTTGTTGGACATTGTATAAAAGTGCTTTAAATAGACCAAAATTGAGATGTTTTAGGATATACACAGAAATAATACTTGTATATTTTTCAATAAAGGGGCTCCTTTGACGATGCCACCACTCGTTTCTACACAGGCTGTGTAATCGAGGCTCTGGCTTATCTTCATTCCAAAGGGATCATCTACAGAGACCTCAAACCTGAGAACATCATACTGGACCACAGAGGATATGCCAAGCTGGTGTGGATTCTTTAACCATTAAAGTTGGTGGAAACTCTCCAAAACGTAAAGTTCTGAGAAGTGTTTGTTTTTTGTTGTAGGGAGACTTTGGTTTTGCCAAGAAGGTTGGTCTGGGTAAAAAGACATGGACATTTTGTGGGACGCCTGAGTACGTTGCCCCTGAGATCATCCTGAACAAAGGTCACGACAGCTCGGCTGACTGCTGGTCACTGGGGGTACTGATGTTTGAGCTACTCAGTGGAAGGTACAGTTGCAAAACTTCAATGTTCCATCACGACTTGAGTCTTCTTTTCTGAACTCTGCTATTTTTAATTTGACTTCTGTGACTTGTGGACATCAGTCAGCTCTGCTTTTAATAAAAATTAAATTTTTGCTTCTCACTCTTTGCAGTCCTCCTTTCTCCGGCTCTGATCCAATGAAGACCTACAGTATCATCCTGAGAGGCATTGATATGATTGAGTTTCCCAAGAAGATCACCAAGAGCGCTGCTAACCTCATCAAACGGCTTTGCAGGTTCTCTCGAGCTTCTCAGATTTGTCAAATTGATAACTGCTTCTCCTCCTCTGAGCCTAGTATGTCACTGAACCGTGACGACTGGAGACGGGTTTCCATCTAGAAATGTGAGGAAAATGGTTGAACTCTGAAAAGTGAGCATTTGCAATGAGCGACCAGTGAGTGTATATCAGTTTTCTAGGCAGTGTACATAATTTTGTTTATCTCCTCCACCTACATTGTATTTAAATTGGACAGTTTTGTACCTATCATGGCACCCCCTCCCCCCCTTTATTATTTAATCTACAGGAGTACACCTTTTAACGCTTTTTGTTTTTGTTTGTTTGTTTGTTTGTTTGTTTGTTTGTTTGTTTGTTTGTTTGTTTGTTTGTTTGTTTGTTTGTTTGTTTGTTTGTATCATTTTTATTCGTCATCACTGCAGATTTTAGACCTGAAAATTCACAATTGTAGCCTCAGATGTTTTCTGTCATAGGTGAGCTCTTAAATGTGCAAAAGCTAAATTGAAAAGAGTTTAAAACACTTTTGAGATTCCTTTGACAACTAATTTGAATTTTAAGAAATTGCTGCAATTCTTTTTTTGAGTACGTTCAAATTTTAGGTGGCATGATGGGCACAGAGCTCAGGGCTATCACTTCATAACAAGGACGTTGCAGATCTGCCTCCAGTCTGGGGCTTTTCTGTTTACAATTTGCATGTTCTCTCTATGCATGGATAGGCTTTCCTCCCGCAGACCATCAATATGCATGTTGAAGGGAAAAACAGGTAAAGACGGATGGATGGATGGATGGATGGATGGATGAATGGATGGATGGATGGATGGATGGATGAATGGATGGATATATGGATGGATGGATGGATGGATGGATGGATTGATTGATTGATTGATTGATTGATTCAGGCAATGACTGCAACTCCTACAAGAAACTGAGAATCTTTTGAAACAGACTGGAGACTCCCTCACAAATGCCATTTGCCAACTGTTCTCTAACAGTGGAAGCTCAGAGAGTTACTGATTTAAAACCAGTGTCTGTCTGACAGGGACAATCCTTCGGAGAGGCTGGGTAATCAAAAGAATGGAGTGAAGAATGTCCAGAAACACAAGTAAGTCACTATCATTGCACCCTGCGTCTTCTTATTGCAGATGAGTCTGTAACAAAAGGTTCTTGTCCTTCAGGTGGTTTGAGGGCTTCAACTGGGATGGCCTGAGGCAGGGGAGCATAAAGCCTCCGTTCACACCCACAGTGGGTACACTGCAGTGTTTTAGCAAGGTAAGAGGATGCTGAGCAAGAGCTTTAACTGATGCATTTGTTCTTCAGGTGGATGGACCGCTCGACAGCAGCAACTTTGACTGTTTCCCGGATGATGCAGAGGAGTCTCCTCCTGATGAAGAGTCTGGCTGGGACATGGAGTTTTAGGATGGAGCTTTATGACCAACTGAAAACTAAGATAAAAAAGGGGGGGGGGGGCATGTAAAAACAGGAAATAGAGCCATATTAAGGGTTTGAAGGGATAGAAGAGTTTTAGTTTATCACTTATACTGTATATCTAATCTTCAGTATGTGCAAAATATAAAAAAACATATAACTAAGATGGAAAATAACATGGATAATAATGAAATCATTTCAATTAAAAAAAAGGTTTCCCTGACTGTATGCTGACAAGATAATACAATTTCATTCAGTTTAATTAATTCAGACACCACAACAACATTCATTTCAGGACACTTTACTAAAGAAAAAATCCAAATCATAAAATCAGTTCCGTTCTAGATTTGGATCCAGTTTTAGTTAATTCGTTCTTGTTGTAATACAAACATTCAGATACAGCAAATCAGTAATGCCTGGTTCACACAGTAAGCTATGATGTCAATTTTTGGCCTGATTTTGCCCTTCTGAAACTCTTACGGACGCCCAGATTATCATGGCTCTAAAGATAATCTTATGAGATATTCCTATCTTGTGTGGTGCGGTCTAGTCTAGTCTGCATAAAAGGATGTTGGGAATGCACTGATCTCAAATTGAGAATATTCAACATGTTGGTTGGTTTTGGCCCAATAGTGTGTGCTCTTTGGACAAACAAGCTTGCAGCCTGTTGAATGTGATGTGTAGCCAATCAGAAAGTGAGGTGATGTAAACATGGAATCCAAAGAAGGCAAAACAACTGTCATGCTGCACCAGAAAGTCCACTGGACGTCGAAGATGTCTTTTTGTTTTGTTTATTCTCTGTTCAAAACAGTCCACAAACTATCACCATCTCTTCTTCCTCATCAGCTTTGTTTATTTACTCTGAAGTCACGTTTGATCTCGAGGGGTTGGTGAGATTTCCCGTCTGACATCTGAATGTTATGAGTTAGTGTAAATGAAATCTGTTCATGTGTAGTATGTTGAATTTCCCATATGACTGTACTCTACACACTGTGGGACCAAACCTGTTAGAGCTATGATTTTTTTTTTTTTTTTTGTCATGTGTGGGGTCTTTCAGTCTTTGCAAATCAACAGACATTTTTCAAACCTTGCCATGTGAACCAGGCATAACATCAAATTAAGGTAAAAGCTTTTTTATCTGCATTATATCTTGACTTTGTTGCAATCTCACATCCTGAGCAGCAAGTTAGTGACAGTGGAAAGAAACAACTCCCTTTAATCAGAAAGAAACCTTCTGTACCAGTACCAGGCTCAGGACAAACAGTTTCTGGCCACCAGGCTCTGAAAAGACAGGAAAGAGATACAGACAAACCAGGATCAGTCCAAGTAGAGCTTCTATAGGAAGACAAAGAAAAACAAGGCAACTATATCACATTGAAAAGACATATATCAGTTTCTGGCAATTCATTCATATATTAAGCAGACAAACAAGCTTTCTCTCCTACCCTTGAAAAAAATCTGTAAATACAAAAAATTTATTTATATATTTCATATTTAGTTCCTGTTTGAAAAATAACAAGTGCGTTGTCTTCGGGTGTCTGCTGGGACCCAAAGACAGCTTGACTCTTTAATATCAGGATTATTTATGAGGGTGACCCAACCTGCAGCTGATTATATTTTCCATTGAATTATGTCCTTAGAAGTGGCAGAAGACAGGAATGAGTCAGCACAGCAGTTCGTCCGGGAACAAACAGATAACGCAGGATAAACTTTGTGCAAGTATTTTTCTGTCGGCTTTCACAGGTCATGATCTTTAACCTTCTGACCACAGGGCAGTTTCACATTTACCCTGACTGTGTTCTTATTTCTATCTACTATTTATTGTCCTGGATCACTTTTACAGTGGTTTCTCAGTTGTGCTGAGAAGTGTAGCCTTTTTTGGTTTTTGTCTATTAGGTAATTTGTATTATTTATTCTAATGTAAAATAAAGTCTTGAACGTGATCAGTGTTTGTTCAAGGATTATAAGAAAACCTGTTTTCTGTCCAAATGTTTACATTTTTTCTTTAACAAATTGTGACTTTAAAGTATGTTTTAGGTTGAAGCTTAAATTTGCCTGTCAGTTTTTCTGAGCGTTATGAAAAAGCAAATAGCCTGAGGCAGTGTTTGGATGACAAGGGTTAGGTTTCATGTTTTATGTTTATGTTCAAGACTGGTGTCTGTTTCATGGCTTACCCGTCCTCAGCGTGTTTTCTTAAAAGCACCTGTACTGATTGTTTACGACAACCTGTTTCACTGTGTTCACTGTCAATATTTGTTGTCATCATGCTGGGTTTCATATCAGGGCATAAATAAAGCTTGAAGAACAGAAACAAACTGAGCTGTGTTGCTTTAACATGACTTCTTTCACGATTCGTTCACTTCAAGATCTTTACATTTCTCACCGGCCACTTTATTAGGTACACCTGCCCAACTGCTCGTTAACATTTAATTTCTAATCAGCCAATCACATGG